TTGCTCTCACTCAGTTGCATGACACTTCTCTTTAGAAATATAGGTATAAATAGATAATTGTGCGGACCTGAATGTCTGTGGGAATTATAAGAATTTGATTTTTATGAAAGTGCACAGAAAACACTGTTCATGATTTTAGATAAACATTACGTTTCCTGTAAAATCAAGACCTGTATATCTGCAGATCTGTAACGGATGATGATAGTTTTTCTGAAGTTGGTACTTTCCGGAGCTATTGTTTTCACTTCTATTGAAACTCTGTAAATTTATTGTGGCCTTTTTTTTATTAAAAATCTTATTGTGGTTTTACATGTTGAAAGGCAGCTTTATATCAGACAGAGTTTCGGCCAGTTCCACTAGAGGAGTATATTAAAGTTGGTAACATCATTTATAATAAAAAGATGGAAGTTGTGAGGACTATACCAAAAGCTGCTGATATGGGAGGAAAAGACCCAGACCATATCATTGAGCTTTGTAACGAGGTAATGGCTTTTGCGAGTTAAGGTCCAAATTAAGTTCTTCCATTTTTTTCTGTAAGTTTCTGATTAATCATGTACTCTTATTTGGTTCACGAAGACTCAGATGTAATTTTTATGATCCAGGTTGTTCAAGAGGGCAATTCAGTGCTGATATTTTGCTCGAGTCGAAAAGGATGTGAATCAACTGCTAGGCATATTGCAAAGCTCATTAAAATAGTGCCAATATACGTTGATGGTGAAAATAATAGTGAGTTTATGGATATCAAATCTGCTATTGATGCCCTGCGAAGGTCTCCGTCTGGGGTAGATCCTGTACTAGAAGAAACTCTTCCCTCTGGGGTTGCCTATCACCATGCTGGTCTTACAGTATGTATACACAATCCATTCACCATTTATGTTTTCTTGACCTGGCTAGATTTTATACTGGGATGGTGATTGTTTTGCTATGACTTTTACGCAAAGTGAATATCTCCATTTGTTTAATTGTATTACAGGTTGAAGAAAGAGAGATAGTTGAGACCTGTTACCGTAAGGGTCTTGTACGTGTCTTAACAGCTACATCCACTCTGGCGGCTGGGGTTAACCTGCCTGCAAGGAGAGTCATTTTTCGACAACCAATGATTGGCCGTGATTTTCTGGATGGAACAAGGTACAAGCAAATGGCTGGTCGAGCTGGGCGGACTGGGATTGATACAAAAGGAGAAAGTGTATGTCTCCAATTATTTAAACTGATGATGTTATATAATTTCTGTTTCAGTTCTTCATGGTGAAATTCCCAGACATTTTTGTTCTTGTTTGGAGTGGTCAATTGTTGAGGCTTTTGATTCTTGTTCTAAATTTGAATTTTTTTCCAGGTGTTGCTTTGCAAACCTGGAGAACTCAAACGAATAATGGCACTTCTAAACGAGAGCTGCCCTCCTTTGCAGTCTTGTTTATCTGAGGAAAAGAATGGAATGACTCATGCAATATTAGAAGTTGTGGCAGGTGGAATTGTTCAGACTGCCAAAGATATTCATCGCTATGTTAGGTGTACTCTTCTGAATTCTACAAGGCCCTTTCAAGATGTGGTCAAATCAGCTCAGGATTCTCTTCGGTGGTTGTGTCACAGAAAATTTCTTGAGTGGAATGACGAGACAAAATTATACTCTACAACACCCCTTGGACGTGGATCTTTTGGCAGTTCACTCTGCCCAGAGGAGTCACTTGTAGTTTAATCTGACCTTCTATAATGAAAAATGCATTATATATAGTATTAAGTAAGCATGCTTGACGTGTATGTAATTGCTGTTGCTGCAGATAGTGCTGGATGATCTTCTAAGAGCACGTGAAGGACTAGTTATGGCTTCCGATTTGCATTTGGTCTACCTAGTCACACCAATTAATGTTGGTGTTGAACCGAACTGGGAATTGTATTATGAACGGTTCATGGAACTGTCTCCTTTAGAACAGGTAATCTCTTGCTAGTAATATATGGCATTATTACGTGTTGATAAGCTAGAAGTATGTTGTCAGATATCTTCTTTCTCTAAATCGACTGTCTTGTTTAGCAAAATAGTTAGGCATTCTCTTTATCCTTTAGTTCTGTTGTGGAAAGCTGAATTCAACCTTCAAGTGTCTTGTAGTACTTTTTGAATAGAAGTTTGCACTAGGTCTTGTTTTTAAGGTTAATAATTTCAGAAAAAAATTATACGCTGATACTGTTTCTCTTGATCTGATCAGTCTGTTGGCAATAGAGTTGGGGTGGTCGAACCTTTTCTGATGCGCATGGCACATGGTGCAACAGTGCGCACTTTAAACAAACCACAAGATGTAAAAAATAATTTGCGTGGAGAATATGACAATAGGCCTGGCTCAACGAGCAGTAAGATGCTTTCAGATGAACAGATGCTTCGAGTGTGCAAACGATTTTTCGTTGCTCTCATCTTGTCAAAATTAGTTCAGGTGCCTCCTGTGCTGCTTTTTTTGTTTCTTGTATCTTTTTATCTTTGCTAATGCTTCGTATTTTGGTTAATATATAAACCATCGCAGCTTGCATGACCATGTACAGTTCATGATATTCTCTTATACTGTTTATCTAAATTGCCCTGCTTGTTTTGGGCCTTGCAGATATTGGTTTGTATCAAATTTCAAAAAATTTGCTCACAACACTTGCTTGTGCTTCAGAAGGCATGATGACGATCGACTCCTCTAATAGATAACTTTTTTTTGTTGAACTATGTAATGCAGGAAGCTTCTGTGTCTGATGTCTGTAAAGCCTTTAAAGTGGCTAGAGGTATGGTTCAAGCGTTACAGGAGAATGCTGGAAGGTTTTCTTCCATGGTTTCGGTGTTCTGTGAGAGGCTTGGATGGCATGATCTAGAAGGCTTAGTTGCCAAGCTACAGAATCGTGTTTCATTTGGTGTCAGGGCTGAAATTGTTGAACTTACTAGCATTCCATATATAAAGGTACTTGCAACTTCCAGGAACTTATAGTTAGGATATGAGGAGTGCTGTTGACAAAGATGGTTTTTTTGGTGTTGAAAAATAGGGTTCAAGAGCTAGAGCATTGTATAAAGCTGGCTTGCGTACATCTCAGGCAATAGCTGAAGCATCCATCCCTGAAATTGTCAAAGCTCTCTTTGAATCTTCAGCATGGGCTGCAGAAGGTAAATCAGTTTTCTTAGACAGTTTAAATTGAGGTTTTTGTTGCCTCAATGATAAGTTGAACGTTGGTTGGAAAGATTATATTATCCTTCTTCATCTAATGTGCTCAAGTTGATATGGTGTACAAGGTACAGGACAAAGAAGGATACACCTGGGATTAGCCAAGAAAATCAAGAATGGGGCGCGCAAAATTGTTCTTGAGAAAGCAGAAGAGGCGAGGGCTGCTGCATTCTCTGCTTTTAAGTCACTTGGTTTGGATGTTCGTGAGCTTTCAAATCCCATGCCCTTGGCTCCTGTTACGAGTCCCAGTGGACAAGAAAGTACTGAAAGAGACATTACTGGAGGCTCTGTTGGTCCCAATGGATTACAACATTTTCCAGGAAAATCAAGGATAGAGGGGCACATGGAATGTGAGAACTTTGATATAGATAATCACAGAGAAAAGCCTAGGGAAGTATCAGGTGCTGCGTTAGCGGTTTCATCAGAAGTTAAATTGACCAGTCGTCTTCCTGATTTTCAACCCATAGGAACTACAGTGGGCACTGATGGGCCTAATGCTGCTAGTATTCTTTCCAGTGAAACTTTCTCTCCCCCTGTATATGATGACAGAGAGATAAAAGATGAGAACAATGTTGAGCAGCATTTGACGAGGAATGGCCATATTCCTCTTAGTAATAAGGATGGTACAAGTGAAAAGGGTCCAATAAATGCAGGAAATATTAGTGGCGGATTTGATTCATTTCTGGAACTTTGGGAATCTGCTGGAGAATTTTTCTTTGATATCCACTATAATAAAGTACAAGATTTGAATTCCCGCATCTCTTATGAGATACATGGAATTGCAATCTGCTGGACTAGCTCTCCTGTATACTATGTCAATCTTAACAAGGATCTTCCTAACCTAGAATGTGCAGAAAAAGAAAAGCTTCTCAAGGATACAGTTGGCAAAAACGAAGTTTTGGCTGCCCACAACATGTTTGATGTTATAAAATCTAGGTGGAACATAATCTATAAAATAATGGGGAATGGAAGTACAAGAAAGTTCACTTGGAATTTGAAAGTCCAGATTCAGGTGCTGAAGAGTCCTGCCATTTCAATCCAAAGATGTGCTCGCCTAAATCTTGCGGAAGGGACCAGGGATTTTGAGTTGGTCGATGGATCTTGGCTAATGATGCCTCCGCTTCGCATAAGACACACCATTGACATGAGCATCGTGACATGGATTCTTTGGCCAGATGACGAAAGACACTCAAATCCAAACATAGATAAGGTAATTCCAGATTGACTATTAGCAGAACCAATTCGATGTATATCATATGTCTCCTGCTGACGGCATTGAACAAGAAAAAGAACACAG